GTCAAGTCACCGTTGTCGTCGTGGACAAAGCTGAACATGGTGATTGACCATGGATTACGTGGGTGGATCCATTTTTTTAGGGTTTATTTATTATTTTTTTGCAATAAAGGACTTCAAAATCCTTTGTGCTTTTTTTTTTTTTCAATAAAGGATTTTTTGCAAAAGTCTGTTTTTTTAATTTCAATGTTTTTTTAAACTCTTTAGTGAATCCTTATTCATTCACAAAGGGAGAGGGGCATCTGGGTGCCCCTTTTTTAAAGGGGTACCCTGATGTAAATAAGGGGATGTGGCCTGGTATGGGGGGTGCTCGCTCGCTCCCCCCCCCCCCTTTTCCGGCCCTGCCAGGCCTATGCTGAAATCAAGGGTCTGGTATTTTAAAGTTTTTTTTTCATTGATTCATGTCCCTTGGGGCAGTACCCGAATCCCCATACACTTTTTATGGTCAATAAATTGCATATAAGGCTTCAAAATGGGGACATTTGATTTTCAAAGTTCTGGCCCCATAGACTTGCATCGAGTTCGAATTCAAATACAAACTTTTCCCATGTTTGAAAGTCTGTATTTGAACCGAACACAGGGGTGTTCGGCTCATCACTAATCATAATATTTCGACTCTATTAAAACTGGTTCCATGTGTGTAATTAATTGTAATGAGCATGGAAAATATATAGTGATCACATGGCAAAACTATCTGCATTTCATACACTATGTAATAATGAGTAACCTAGGGCCAACATGTTGCATCTAAAGATGTTAGATAGAAAATATATGTTTCACCTTTCACTGAGTAGGTGGGGACAGAAGCCATCAAAGGAATACAGGTGAAACTCGAATAATTAGAATATTGTGCAAAGTTCATTTATTTCACTAATGCAACTTAAAAGGTGAAACTAATATATGAGATAGACTTATTACATGCAAAGCAAGATAGTTCAAGCCGTGATTTGTCATAATTGTGATGATTATGGCTTACAGCTCATGAAAACCCCAAGAACCCCAAATCCACAACCTCAAAAAAGTAGATTATTACATGCAATCAATAAAACAAGGATTGTACATAGAACAATATCGGACCTCTGAAAAGTACAAGCATGCATATGCACTCAGTACTTGGTTTGGGCCCCTTTTGCAGCACTTACTGCAATTACTTTTGCACGATATTCTAATTATTCGAGTTTCACCTGTACTTAGCTTGTCCACTTTAAATTCGGCAGGGTGTTGGAGCAGGGGATCTGCACATCAGATCATAATAAGCAGAGGTTGGTGACATACAACTAAAACCCAACTCCACCTCCAACTGACTCCCCTGCTCATCTCATACCTTGAAACTGGGTATTTCTGAGCAGTCAGTGATCTTCTATAGACTAGTCTTTAAACCATGTAAGCATCAGGCATAACATTTAAAGATGTTAAAGACAAAACAATTCTTCTAAGATAACTAACACATTTTCAATTATACAGTTGCAAGAACAACAGTAAATGTAGGAAATACCACAGGTATGTAAAATTTAAAAGTGCATTTTTAATTTTATAGTTTGGTATTTGGTTCCAGTGCCACTTACTTTGAATTAAATTTTCAGCTACTACATTGCAGAATTATACTACAAGCAGAGAGGATAATTCTTTAAAAGAGGGTACATAGCAGGTTTTTTTACACCATCCGTATGCCCTCATATGCTGGGTCTGAGACTATGCACTTCAGGGGAATGTGATAGTGTCTTTAAAGCTACCCCATGATCCTCTTCTTATGTGTAGCCAGTGTATGCTGTCGCTTAGACTTTCCTTGAAAAGCGTACTGTTCCATAACACCATGTACAACTTTAATGTGCTTATATTTTGCTTCTCTGGTCCCTCCCACCACTCCCCTTATTAACACGCTAATTAAATTCTTACATAAAACCTTTATATTTTCATTATGTCATTTTAAACCCAGTGATGTCTTCGCCAGGTCTTTGCAATGCAGGCAGATTATGGCTATTAGGAGGGGTGGCACGGTGCAAACATCACAGCACCCTCTATATATATCTATATATATAGATATATATAGATAGATATCTATATATATCTATCTATATATATCTATATATATATATATCTATCTATCTATATCTATCTATCTATCTATTTATGATCCATATCTAGTATACGTTTTAATATTTACTGCTTTTACCATGTTTTCAGCAAGAACTGTTTTCTTACCTCACTCAACTAGTAAGTATACCAGTGATTTCTTTTATTTCATAACCCAGTGCTGTATTGTATTAATCAGAACCCTTAGGCCTGCAGAAGACAAAAAACCGTGATTGGTTAAAGCAACAAATAATAATAAAGTCCAATGGGCTGTTCATTTTACATGGGAATTTTCCCTTAGCTTAGTGAATGGTAAAAATTCACTTTGCAAAGAATACCCAATCATGTGCAAGAAAAACAAAACAGTATTTTTGCTTGTGCGTGATTGGATGATGAAAGTCAGCAGAGCTTTACCCCATTCACTAAGCTAAAGGAAAATTCCCTTGTAAAGTGAACAGTTTATTTTCCTTTAGTTAATCAACTGCAAAGAGTCCTGCCCCCATCCTGCGACAATTAAAGAGCAAAACTTTAGGAGAGGGCATAGCTAGGGATTAACTTTTTTGCAAACATGCTAGAAGTTCAACTTTCCAATAAGACTCTCTTCGTAATGACACAAAGGCATGGTGACTTGCAAAAACTAGCAATATCTGCTTATTCCACACAGCCAAATGAGGATCATGTCTCAGCCGACTTATGGTTTACATTTTAGGAAATAACCATAATTTTTTTGCAAAGGGCAATAGGTATGATTAAAGTCTATCTGAAAGCCTGACAGAACGTTTAACTCTTGCCTACTCGATTGGGGGGAAAAAAAGGTCGCCAGCAATGGCAGCCCCTCAGTTACTCTCAGAAGAGATTTACTTTAAAGGAAAACTCTATTTTCATAAGCATATCACATATAGAATTGCTGCACAAGCCATTTTGTAATTTAATGTTATTTAAAATGACCTTTTCATTTGTATTTGAAGCCGCTGTAATTTTCTAAAACTGTTCTAAAAAATTAACTGCAATATGGCAACCTGGAGGTATTCTGCTGGTATACGGGCTACCCACGGAAATATAATTTCCTGTTTGTGTGATTGGCTCATAGATTTTCCCAGAAGTCTGTATTGATATAGGTAAAATAGGAGATGTAGGTATAACCCACTAAAAACTCTAGACATTTGCGCCTATAATGATAGCTTTGCCAGCTATTTAGTGAAACCAAGAGAATATTGCATAAAGAGGCAAACATCATAACCGTAAAACTTACAGGTGTGTTCAGAGTATCATTTCAAGAAATCCATATAGTAATAGTAACCTTTTTCTACAGCTTTGAGAGATGGTATCCTATATCTGATCTTCCAGCTTGGTTTAAGGTAGTTAGGAGTCAGCAAAAGCTACTATACTATATTATGTCTATGGCTGTAGACACTTGATGGCTATGATGATTTAAGCAGAGAAAGGAGTGACCACATACGACCTCTAGTTTTTGAAATTCTTTAAAGAGGAACTTACCCCACCAACTTAATATCTCCCTAAACAATTACAATTAAGGAATGCCAACTGCCAAGGTTGTCAGTGTGCCTATTGGAGTTCTCAACTAAACTTTAAGTCCTCAAATAGTTGAGGCGTGTTCAGTCCCCTAGCCAAGCACTGAGTAAATGTTCTGCAGCAGCTTCACTGAACGTTTTGGCTGCACAGTGCTAAGCAAAATGGCAGAGGATCATATTTTTGACTAATAAATACAATTTTCCAATTAATATTTGGCGTGCTCGTCCACCAAAACTTTAAATGATAGATTTCCACACTGAAAGGTTTTCCTCCACCGGGGAACAGGCACCTTTATCCAGCGCTGCCAGGTGTGCCCACAGTTAAAATGGCTGCAGGCGCTCTGTCCCCAACCTTCTCCATCACACTCAGCGCTCTATCCACATTCACTTCTGCTGCAAGTGCTAAGTTAGTGGTGCTGAGCGCTGACTTGCAGCACAGTGTTCAGTTGCAGATCGCTAACTCAGCACTCACAGCGGCTGAGCAACTGAACACGCCTCTGATGTCATGGCTGATCACATGTGCAGCACCATGGCAACTGCAATCCAAATAGAGTCTAAGATGGCACCTTCGTTGGCTGTAAAGGATAGGATGTTGTAGTTTGGCTTTAAGCTAAGGATTAAAGGAGGCATGCATTTCCCATGAACAGATTTTTAATAGAAGTTATTTTTTAATTTTATTAGGCTTATGCTGTGTTATCAATTTATTTGAAAATACTGTAGTGCTTAATGGGTTTATTAGTCAAGCTTGGTCAATATAATTATTACATTGCATATGAATGATTAGGTGGTTGTTCCATAAACAATTGTATAGCACATTGGATGATACTCTGTTATTTGAATCACAAAATAAAAACCTATTTTTCTCTAAGTGAACCAGCATGTCTCTCCCACCAGGTGCTGATATGGGCAAACAAGGAACTGACAAGTACAAAAACAATATAAATGGTGATTTAACACCTTCATAGCCAGAGGTAGTTTTTGCCTTAGTTAAAAGGCTGTATAGCAGCCATGATGAGAGTTCTGCTAAATTATGTAATTTGTGCCAGATCGATATGGGTCTGTTAATGTTTTCATACAGGGTTCACACAGTTTTCATCCAAGATTCATATGGTTTCTAAATGTATTCGATTGGAAAAATATTTGAATCCTGGGGGAGTTAATCTTGTTTGGAAACACTTATAAGTTTACCCCAAAGTGGTGAGAGTACTTTTAAAATTTTTGTTGGCACTTCTTATAGTTGTTGTCTAATCACAGAAAAAAGCATTAGAGGGCCGAATTCTCTATTTATGAATCGTGATAGATAATTAGGTGGCCGCCATATTTGCTGGTTTGCTAGGGAATCTTCTTACCCTACCCATGCTCAGCTTTAACCACACTTTCTCTTCTTTTTTGTACCAGATATGGCTCTGAGGTTGGCCAATGGCATAAACCGATGTGTTGGACGTGTGGAAATCTTCTATGACAGAGAATGGGGAACAGTGTGTGATGATTCTTGGGATCTAACAGATGCTCAGGTTGTATGCCAGCAGCTAGGTTGTGGCAGAGCTATTTCATTTCATGGCAGTGCTTATTTTGGCCAAGGAACAGGACCCATTATTCTGGATGATGTGAATTGCAGAGGTGATGAAAATGTGTTATGGGACTGCCCTCACCGAGGGCTGAAACAGCACAACTGTAACCATAATGAGGATGCTGGAGTCAACTGTTCAGGTACATTCTATTGTCTTCTATACAGCCAATGTGTCATAGTACACTGTATGTGTATTGAATAAAAGATAGCTACATGTAAAATTAATTTATCAATCACTATTAAGAATAGAGTCACTGATAATAGAGGGTATAGGAAATAGTGTGTTAAGGTCCTGATAACTCTCTGAACTGGAGGTCTTAAACTGTATAGTGGCCCTCATCTTTATCTGGCATTCAAACTTCCCTAATGATGGACCAAATGCCAACTCCATGGATGTGAGCCATGATATTAGGGATTGCCAGGGTACCTGTTACACAGCAAAGAAATGCCTATTTTTAGCCTGTGCAGCCATTCTAGGAATATCATTGACGTTCCTATATGTTGGCCTCATTCTATTGATATTTCTCTCCTCTTTTCTCATCCTTCTCACTCCCTTTCTCACTCCTACTTCCCCTATGTCTTCTTTCCATTTTCCTTCTCTTTTACATTACCTTTCTTCCCCAGCCTGCAGCATTATTTCTGAAAGGATATTCAGAAGGAGACTTAGTAATGACTTCCTCCATATTTGTCTCAGCAAAGGTTTCTGTACTGCTGCTGTACTTTTTTTTTTAAGCTCTGGAACGGAACACAATGATGTGAACAGCTTAAAAGGTGTTAGCTAGACTTAAGCCTTAATTTGTTAGTCAGGTCCACCTAAATCTACTAGTACATCTAACATAACACTATCTATGGGCTGACAATGCTGCTGTCCAAGGGTGGCTCTGTTGCTCCTCCATTGAGTGTTTTTGAGTTTAGATACACTGTAAAGCAGTAATAAAGACTGTCCATTTTTTACCTTAAAGTAGAATTAAACCTTCTTTTTTTTGCATATATCTATGGCTAGCAACAGTATATGCAAAAACATGAAGAAGAAAAAAGTTACCAAACATGTAAAACATACCTGTGTCTCCGCCGCTCACTCCCGCCAAAAGATATGAAGTAGACATGTGCACTGCCAAAAAATTCGTTTAGTTTTAAATTCGGATTTGTGTTATTTCGTTTTTCGGGATTCGGGTGTGAAAGTCAATTCGGATTCGGACGAAATTCGGTAGCGTTCGCACGAACGTTCGTTTCGTTTTCTGTTCTTATTCGTTTCTTATTAGTTTCTTATTCGTTTCTTATTCGTTTCGTTCGTTGGAAGCAAAAGTGACATTTGAGGGGGAAAAAATATTTTTCTCCTTCTCTAATGTCACTTTGCTCCAACGAACGAAACGAATAAGAAACGAATACGAACAGAAAACGAAACGAACGTTCGTGCGAACGCTACCGAATTTCGGAAATGGAAATTCGGATTCGTTTGCATTCGTTATGTCTGTAATTCGGAATTCGGATACATCCGAATGTCCGAATTTACGAAAATTCGTCCGAATTTCGATTCGGAACGAAACGAATCGCACATGTCTAATATGAAGATTCTCGGGCGGCTATGAAGGATCATGGGGTGGGCGCATGCGCATTAGAGATCTTCAGCCGGGAGAAGAGGAGAGACACAGTGTAAGTCAAAGCACGCAGCCCAGCAGAGTGCACCCGCACAGACTCCGTGGGTCACAGAAGACACAGCAGTCAGCGCTGGATCAGAGACCAGTACCAGCGCTGCATGGACTCCTGAAAACTACTGGAAAGAAGATCGGATCAAGAGGCATCATTTAAGGTAAGTGCTTAAAGCAGCATGGGGGGGTGACTTTAATGTCACTTTAATGCATTCTCTGCATTAAGCTAAAAAACGCTCAGCTATCTTTCCATGCACCCCACTTGCAAACACTTACCTATGGTCCTCGTTCACTGCTGCCGGCTCCCGGACGATCTCCATGTATTACTGAAGTTCCGGGTTGAGAAGAAGGATCCAGAGGCCACTGAGTGCAAGGCAATTATAGGCTTCTGTACCTGCCTCTCAATATACTGAGAGGAAAGAGGAAGAGGAACAGGGGCGTCGCTTGTCAAGGGCTGTGTGTGTCAATGGACGCAAACAGAATGGCTCAATTCCCGTCTAGGAGCATGCATGCCCGGGTGTCTCCTTTGCAACCTGCTAGGCAAAGGAAACACCTGTAAACAGGAGGGGGGGGGCTGCAGTAGATCCAGCAAAAAAATAAATTAAATGGGCAATATTAAAAAAAAACCCTACACAATTACAAATGGATCTCCTGTGGATAATTAAAAAAACAAAAACCCAACAATACGAAGGTTTTAATATCCCTTTAACTGTAACTTGATCATGAGTTTCTGTTTTCCTTTTTGTATTTGTGGAAAAAAGCATTTTTTGCAAAGTCTTTAACTGAATGTGAATTTATCTCAATTTAAATTTTTCCCTTTTCAACTTTGCAGGTTCAGCATATCCTACAGGCAAGTACAATTTTTACTTAGGCTACCTGAAGATACTTATGGTTCAAACTAGGGATGCACCAATACCACTTTTTCAAGACCGAGTATGAGTACCGATACTTTTGATCAAGTACACGCAGATACCAATTACCGATACTTTTCTTAAAGGGACAGGTCACATTTTTTCTAAAGCAATATAAACGAATGCTTTAAGGTCACTTTCTTAATATTATGATTCATGAGATGACGAGGGAGCATGACGCCGGCTTCCCGGCTAATCAGAATGCGTCATAACACGGTGCCCGGCTTCCGGATTTGCTAGCTTCCTGACCAATCGGGAAGCCGGGTGTCATTGCACGCTACACGGCTTCCTGATTGGCCGGGAAGTCGGCTCCATGCTCTCTCATCACAAGTGACGAGAGAGCATTGAGCCGTTTCCTGGCCAATCAGGAAACCGGGCAGCATGTAATGATGCGCTGCCCGGCTTCTTGATACAGGAAGTACTCGTGCTAGGTATCGGAGAATTTGGGGGAGTACGAGTACTCACCCAAATACTCGGTATCGGCACCGATACCGATACTACTATCGGTATTGGTGCATCCCTAGTTCAAACAAAAATAATCTCCTCTTAATATAGTTAAGTTTACCTTTGCATGATAGGCTAAAAAGTGATTTACTTAGTAATATTTCATAGTTTCCAACATTTGGAAATAATTAGCCACAGCAAAAGGTTCAAGAAAAAGCCAGCCAGGCCAAGGGGTGTGGGCAAAAGTAGGCATGACCTATAAAGTGGATGAGAGTTCATTGTGAAAGGCTTGAAGTGTGGCACATTTCCACTTTGCTTTTTTAATTTGTAGACAAAATAGGGTCTGGGTGTACACTGAAGAGAAAGTGAGGACACAAATAAACAGCTGTGGTGTCAGTGGGGGTCAGTTAAGCCCCATTGGTGGTGTCTGTGGGATACAATACCTGGCAGTCACTGGTGTCAATGGGAAAACATAAGTCCCATCATTGGTGTCAGTGAGATATTATAAGCTCCATCGTGTGTCAGTGTGCTTATATAAGCCCCATATTGTCGGTGTCAGTGCCATAAAATAAGTCATGTATCCATGTCACTGCAATAAAATGATCTTACCTGAATGCACACTCTCATGATGTCATTCTGCCTCTGCTGGCTGGAACTGTACAGTGACTGTTGGTCAGGTAAGGCCTCCACCCGACAATCACTTCAATACCTGATGTTGGAAGTAAATGTGCAGTTGTCCCCCAAAGCTGAACTTCAGGTTAAGTGAATATTTCCTAAACGTGTATATTTACTTCAATCTTGGTGAGCTTTGTGTATTTCTTCCAGATCCATGCAGTTATCCAGTGTGAAACGTTGCTTCTGCGCAGTAGCTTCCTGTATTAAGACCAGTCACTGCTGTTCTCTCTCCTTGCTGCTGGAAGCAGCATGTAGTGGGTGTGGCTCCTCCCACAGGTTAGCTCTCTGCAGAGGTTATGTGTAATACAGGGATCATGTCACTGCTACTTTTACAAGGTATTATTTGGGTGTATAAAGACATTTCGGGCACACAAAGTGAATTTATATCCTTTGTGGCTATTGAGGACTATATGGCAATGAATGTTTTTGTAGCCGGAGTTCAGATTTACATTTTTTTTTACTCGACTTTCACATTTCTGCTCTTCCCTACTTTAAATTAAATTCACTGTAGAGATTTGCAAGTTAGCCACCCGGGACAAAGGTACATTTTCTACAACAATGAATACTAACTACATAACAACTTCTGTAATAGGAAATCTACAGTGCAGGGAGCACATTGGTTTAAATAAGTCAGCTGACTCCTAGACTTGCTTGGTAAAGGTGCCCATACACTCTACAACCCTCGCAAGACTTTTGTCTTACGAGGGTTGTAAAGTACTTAAAAAAACGTACGATCTGCCCATCTTGGACAGGCAGATCGTACTTGCGATCATGACAAGCCAGCCAGGGGCGGGCTTCCGATGACTGCAATGCTGAACGGGCAGTGTGCGCGTGAGCACACTGGCCCGTTCGGCAGTGATCTCTTGATCATGTTAAAAACCAGCCGAAAATCGTACGATTCTCGGCTGGTTTTCCAACATGCTCGATATAGAAAAGTCGTGCGACCGTTTCTAATGAAACGCCTTCCATACACTGCACGATTCTCATACGATCGCTGGATTTCCTGCGATTCTCGTACGAGAATCGTGCAGTGCATGGGCACCTTAAGAAGGAGCAGAAACTCACTACTATTGTTTAGCATTGCAAAGCTGGAAGTAGAGCCCAAACAATTATGGCTACCCCATCTTCATAATTAATTACAAGTTTAACCTGTTTTTTTATTAATCACCACCCTATTGATAAGATTATTGATATCAAACTGATTGTTTTTAAATGTTTGTCTTAAACGTTACTGAAAAGGCTATGCATTCCCTTTAATAGGAAATACAGATGAAATAAACACAAGTTAAGAAATAAACACTATTTATTCTTATTTTACAGTGAACTGTGGGGGAATTTTGACCAATCCCCAGGGACACATCTATAAGGAGTTTGGGGTCTCTTTTCCATCGGATTCCTGTGTGTGGTACATTAGTGTTGAAAACAATAATAGAATTCATCTGTCTTTCAACGAATTCTTGTGAGTGCTAAGCAGATTTTTTTCCCTTGTATAAGTATACCCCAGATATGATAAAACTGACCTGATGCCTGGAATATGAGGCATTTTATACAGCATTTATACTTTTAAGCTAAAGACCTCCACTAAGGTCTCATTTACATGGGGTGGCAAAAACAGGTTTTTGATCCATGCCTTCACCCCCTTCCCGGCCACTGACTGTCCACCTACAGTTTTACATAGCTGCTACTCGAGGTGGTAACGGCTGTGATACATTGCAATTTTTTTTACAGCGTATCACATTTGGCAAGTTTTGAAAAAGAAAATCAAACACTTGTCGTGTGGTTGTGGCCCAATATTTCCATAAAAAATCCTCCTTAGGATTTAAAAAAACAAAAAACAGGCACTCAGGTGGCCACAGTATAAGCTTTTAAAGTTTACCACCATGTGCCCCTCACCTACGTCTCGTACGGGAATGGTGACCGGTAATCCTGTGATTCAATTAAGGCCACCATGGCACTGCAGTTCTGGAAACAGCGGGGACCCTGGGGCTGTACAGCCATCTGAGATGCCCATGTAACGCAGACAGTGACATGGACACCCATGGAATGCCCGCTGTGCAATGAGAGATAAAACGTGGAACCTAGCATATCGTGACCATTTATTTAGGTTATTTTTTTTTTTTTTATTGTACTGCATAAATTAGAAGGGAGAGTAAGAGTGTGTCCAAAGGATATTTACAGTAAATTCAGTTGCATGAAGTTTATAAACATGTAATGTTTCTAAAGTTCACCTTTATTATCTTTCTTTTTTGGATAACCAGTTTTTGTTGTTTGTTTTCTTGTAAAATATGGATCAGAGCGAGGAATTCACAATCATGTCAGGTGGCTTCTGTATCAGTTTATGATGGCACTCCGCGAGGATCAGTCTTACTTGGGAATCTATGTGAAACAGCAACTCGAAGTTTTCTTTCCTCATCCAACAGCATAAGCATTGTGTACACCAGTTATAATGGTGGTCAAGATTTGGAATTCTCTGCTACATATAACTCAGTCATCTCCAACAACACTAATGGTATTTTTTAATGTAATTTTAAAATGCCTAAAAAAGATCATATCTGCAAATGATCAAAAAAACACTCTAAGATTAATAAAGGCTTCCAAATGAACTTGTGTAATAAGAAGCCAAAGCACTAAAACAAATTGCATAATCTAAGTTATAGCAGGCAACAACAGTGATATGCTGTACCATTTATCAGCACATTGTAATTCTGTACTATAGCTTGAATTATGCATTCATTTTTGGTGTATATACAGTATGAAAGTCTGTGTTCATCTTGTAGTTTGTATATCATAAAAAGAGAAAGATGTTTCCTGTCAGAGTGCTCCACCCTTTGTTTTTTTTGTTCCCGCCTCTATGATCCCAAGACCTCCATGCTATTCAACTGGAACTGCAGTCACAATGAAGGAGTGGGACAATGCTTCTGTCCTACGCCCGTGTGCTGTCATTTTTTCTGTTCAATTGCTCCAGTGTGGCTCAAAAAACCCTAATTCTGTATATTTTTCTACACTGTACCACTCCTCCAATGTGGCTTGCTCCTTTACCCCTGGCTTTGTGGTACAGACCAGCGACATGCAGTCAGGTGAGGCAGAGCCTCACCTAGAATTATGGAGGAAAAAGCTGTCGGCTTCATGTCAGATGCCGATCTGAATGGAGAAAAAGCTTCAAACAGGTTACACAATAGGGAAATCCTCACGGAGCCTCAGCGGTGAGAAGCAAGTGAGGGGCAGGGAGGAGCTCCTCCCTGTCTCCTCCCTTCCTCCTTTACACTAGCTTGGGGACGTGTTGGGGGTAGGGCTTCAGCCGGCGGGGCTGGGTAATGCCTCACCCCAAGCAAGAGGTACCGCACGTCACTGGTACAGACTGTGTGCTGGCATCTCCACTGTTCCACCGTGGTTTCTTTTTTCATTAGTTCTGTGCCACATTCTGTGTTCTGGCATCTCCACTGCTCTACATATTCACCATAGCTCCTTCTACATCTAGATATTTGCTGTGAGCTGTCATGCATATTGTTACATCCCCCACTGTGCCATCTTTCCCTCTTAAGTGAAGTAACAGGTTCTCTACAGCTACCTCCCTTGTGCTCTCCCTATCCTTCACCAAAGTCCCCAAATATTCCTGTGCAAATGTTAAAACAAACATAGGGCTAACCAAAAGTTAGTAGTGAGGGGAAAAATAAGGGTAATAGCTCACATGCACCCTTAGAATGGGCAATTCTGAGACCTCCAAAAGGGAGCAGTAAGGCAGTACAGCAAAGGTGAGAGTCAGTGGGAGGAGGATTAGCCTTACTCCAAGTCTCACCCCTTCCTTATCTAACCCCCAAGCCTCCTCCTTCATCTTTCAAGTGCCAAAAAACTCAGTGTATAGAAGAGGCTCTGGGATTTTACTTTTGAATAAGTGGTGGGGCTAGAATAGGATATAGCTTAATTACCTTGGAAGCAAATGGAGAAACAGTGTACAGCCTGGCACTAGGATCCAAAGGACTGTACCGGAACACAGAGATTATTTGGAGACTAACACAGGCACTTGCAAGTACCAGAATATCCCTACATTTCAGCACTTTTGGTACCCCAGACACTAAGGATTATTTTGTTATAGTTAATTATAGGAATGCACCAATACCGATACCGAGTATTTGGGCTAGTAATCGTACTAATGAGACATGACTCACCGCCTAGCTTCCTGATTGGTCAGGAAGCTGGCCAATCAGAAAGTCAGGTGGTGAGTCATTACTCGCCCCCCCCCCCGGCTTCCTGATTGGCCAGAAAGCTGGCTCCATTGAGCATGGAGATGGCTTCCCTGCTAATCAGGAAGTCGGGTGGCGTATAATTACACACTTCCCGGCTAATCAGGAAGCCAGGCGGTGAGTCATTACACGCCGCCCTGCTTCCTTAATGAGACTTCCAGGATCGGTGGTCGGTATTGGCGAGTGCCAAAAGAAAAATATAGGTACTCGATACCGGAAAAACCATATCGGTGCATCCCTAGTTAATTTGTTTAATGCCTATTGTGGCAAATAAGTTTTACTATTCTTTTCTTTTTCCTTTTTGCAGTAACTGTATCATGCCATTCTAATTACATGGATGTTCATGTAGCTCTTGGTTATCTTAATTCTCTGGGATATTCTGAAAGTGAAATTTTTTTGAACGATCCACAGTGTCGCCCTACCACTGTATCAGGCTGGCTGCAATATCACATCCCTTATCAGCAATGTTTAACTGTCAAGCAGGTAACATACTGCAAATCTGCTGTTATCTTTATCCTTGTATTTATGCAAAATGTCAAATTTAGTGCATCAAACTTCTTCTAGGTTCTTCTAGTCTAGAGTTGCCAAAACAGTCTCCTGCACTGTCGCAGGGATACTATAGTATATTTTAGTATTTTCAGTTATAAAACAAAAAGCACATTACAAATCACTTTCTAGAAAGGATTTTCATTATATTTCTATAATTATATTTCACATGTTTTATTGTAGATTCTGTGGTATATCATGAAATCATTTGAATATCTTATGACAATTGCTGAGATAAATAAATATGTAACCCTGTTTCAGGCGGTCATGTAAAATGACCCTCTCCTTACAGGAATTACACCTGGCATTGAGGCAGCACCTAGGAAAATAAGGGATCCTTCACTAAATGAGTGTTAAAAATAATGTCTCTGAGTTAGTGAATCCTTGGTGCCTCCACCCAGAAGGGCCATATAAGGATAAGGGGACTCCTAGGAACACTTAGTCCCAAGAGTACTTCACACTTACACTTTCTATAGCGATGAAATGCAGGTCCAGACTTAAATGCAGTTTCACTGTTTAATCCCAAACTTGATAGGAGACAGGAGAAAATTTGAGGGTTAGGCCCAGGGCCGGTGAGATTATTTTTGCCTAAACAGGCTAAGGTGGATTTTTGCACCCCCCTGGCGCCCTCAGTTGGCTGCTTATACATCCCTACGCTAGCACTAGCCTTGACCACATTGCTAGGGTGTAACATGGTCAAATTGCAACACCCCCTCGCCTGAATTGCAGGGTTCTTTTCCACACAGGCTGCTGGGGTTTTTTATCAAGTTGCGCAGCTGTGCGTGGCTCCATTAACAAAGCCACGTCATCCAACCATCGTTTTTTTTTTTTAATGCTTGCGTTTGCAGGGGGGGGGACTTTAATTTTATTTGTTTTCATTTTTTTTGTATTTTTAATTTTAGTTTATTTTTTTTTTTTTTTTTTTTTTTTTTTTTTTTTTTTTTTTACTTTTTTTTAAACTTTTTTTGTATTTTGTTGTATTTTTAATTTTAGGTTTTTTTTTGTTATTTTTTTTAAACTTCTTTTTTTTCTTCATTGCTGGGAGCAATAGCCAGCCTGCTATTGGCTGTTTCAGATTGCAACACCCAATAACAGGCTGGCTATTGCACCTGCCCACTGCCTGCTGTCAATCAGCAGAGGAGAGAGCTGAAGGAGAAAGTTCTCCTTCAGGTCCTCCTCTGCTGATTGACAGCAGGCAGTAAGCTGCAATAGCCAGCCTGGTATTGGCTACTGCAATTTAAAAGAGCCAATAGCAGGCTGGCTGTTGCTGCCAGCTGCTGGATTGGAGACCGATTGCGGCCAACAGCAGGAGCGCAGCGCGGGGAGGCAGAGGATGGATTAGGCAGTACGGGGGAAGTAAACTCATACTGTCAGCAGTCTGTAATCGACTATCTGTTCCCTCTAACACAGACCGCTGCAGCCGATTACAGCCGATTACAGCCTGTAAGGAGAAACCACTGACAGTCCGTGAGTCTGCAGCAGGGAGAACGGGACGGGCACAGTTATTGCGGCAGCTGTTTCTCTGCGGGACGGTGCTACCATTTCTTCGCCCCCCCCAACAGCGCGCTCAGGTGGCAGCTTGTGCTGCCTTGCACTAGCGCCGACACTGGTTAGGTCTTGATCTTAGGCTAAAATATGCTGGGTGGGTGTCAGCAACCAGAAGCATCACAAAAAACTTCTGCTGAAGCACATTAGTCGAACAAACCAACTGGAAGTTCTAGTGGTTCTCCCTTCTATTAATGACATGGATCAGATTAAGCCAGCATGGCTTCCAGACACACAGCCTGCATTCAGAGCTCATCTATTTTGTCAAAGCTTGGTCCAACACACTTTTGGGAAACTGACAAGGGGTTGGTTGGCTAACTTGCTGCATATTGTGTGTGTATATATACTATATATATATATCTATATATATATATAGTATACACACACACACACACACACACATATACAGTACATCTATATATCTTTTACTTTCTATGTTGTACATACCCAATTAACCGCATAGCATATCAATGTTAACCTACATATTTCTCTGCCTAAAGATATCTTTTATGCTGTTTGATAAACTTTACTAAATAAAGCAGCAAATCTTTACATTTTCAATAACGGACATTTTGTATTTCCCGTGCCACAGTATTACAAAATCCATGCAAATACATTTTTCCTAAAGGAAGCAGATGAACAAATGCAATTATAGCTTATTGTTTGCATTTTAACTGCATATGAATTTACAAATAATAAAGCTAGAGGTTCTAAATTGTCATCTCTCAACATATCTGATCCAACACATCCCTCCGACCCACTGTCAAGTGTCCCTGATTCTGTTGTGAGAGTGGACATCGTTGATTCAGCACTGCAGTCTGTGCCCGCACTCACTGATCCCTTCATTGTGACATCACCATGAACTGCAGTTCTGAAGCCGTGGCAGAGCCCACAGCTGGACAGCCATTGGGAAGTGTCCACATCACCCAGGCAGCAACAAGGACATGAAAATAAAAACCCTCCCACTTTGCTTTGGCTAGGAAGAGAAGACTTAAAGTGACATTAAACCCTCAGATTTTTTAACATAAAACAATACTGTAATGTGTGCCTTACTGTAATCCATGGTTGTTTCCCTTCTCTTTGCTGCTCTGCCTTTTAAATCTGTATCTGTTCTCATGCTGGGCAGAACTTCTGTTTTGCAGCAGACTGCCTTGTCTCAGGAATGTATATATGGTATCTGTGTGTAGGTTTGTAACCTGAGCCAGCACTACAGGAAGAGGCACTCAGCTGCAAAGGGATGTTCTCCCCCAGCATGAGAAGACATGAGGATTTAAAAGGAAGAGCAGCAAAGAGAAGGGAAACTACCATGGATTACAGTAAGGCACACATTACAGTATTGGTTTATGTTAAAAAATCTGAGGGTTTAATGTCACTTTAAGATTTGGCTCATCAAATGACCACAGGTTTCTGTAACTATTTTGAGATTAGTGTTGTTACTGTACTACAGCAGTTAGAGTGGGTTGGGGGATAAAGGATAGGACATGGCGAGAGTGTACCCAGAAAGGAGCTTTAATCATTATACTATACCATAGCGCTATCTCTCTCTTTTTTTTAGGTCGAAAATGACACTATTAATTACTCCAATACTCTGTCTACCTACTCAGAGGACTTTGTAGTGATCTACAGAAATAAGTTAAATCTATCTGTGAAATGTCGGCTGTATCGAGACACGGTAGTGGAAGGGATGTACTATGCTGATGATACAGTTAAGAACACTGTACTGCAATATGGCTTGTTTTCCGCCAACCTGACATTCTTTCAGACTTCAAATTTTATACAACCGGTTAATGACTATCCATACCATGTGAGGCTCAACCAGCATTTGTTTCTGCAAGCCTCCTTAATTGCATCTGATCCTGACTTGGCCCTTTTTGTAGATACATGTGTTGCATCTCCTGATGAGTATAACTTTAATGGAAGCGTTTACTATATTGTTTACAAAGGGTAAGCTATCATTTACATTTTTTTTGTTTGTTTTTTTATGCTCTGAAGTAGTTATATCTAAACATGTTGTATTTATGTTTCTTACCTTTATATAGTAAGTGAATGAAGTGACTTTTGGGAAAAGTAACCATCAAACAATTGTAATAGAATTATTATGAGTAGACTTTAGCCTTTTACTTGTTTACAACTACAGCAGAGTGTTACAACAATGGCTGTACAAAGAACTACAGAGTTAGATCAAAACTTTTCTATAACAAAACCTTTTGAAGATATTTTGTGAAATGTTCACCTACAAGACACAGAAAAAATGAAGACTTACTACATTTATTGCCTTATAGTGGAGCTCTAGACAAACTTTAGACCTAGTAGGGAAGAGTTCAAACACCTTTTCTTTTTGTTACTGTGTACACATTGGGGAGATTTTTTTTTTGCTTCTTGCCATGTGATCATTATTGGGAATAAGGGGAATCTCTCCACCATTTGTCATATGTGCTTTTGTAGGGAACATTTATGTTCATTCTGTTGTGTCTTTGGGACAAGAAATTAGGGTAATTCTCCCTAATGGGGACTCAAATGTCTCTGGATTAGGTGTCCTTGTTGGAAAAGTTCCCCTCAAATCCAATGATAACTATAAACCTTTGTTTTTTTTTATCACCTTCTACCCCAGAGAACGTAGTCACCAGAACAAATAGAAAGAATGACTCTCCCCAACAGGAGCACTAACAATGAAATCCTGACAGGATCCTAAATCATCTGCACTCTGTCCAAACGTATAAAACCATTAATTGGCTTTAGAAAAACCATTTTGGCTTTAGACAAACTTGGAAACCCTTACCTTTTATCTACTATAGATTATAGTTATCTAGTTATTAGTTTTTAAGGCTGAATGGTAAACCCACTGATAACTGAAAAAGTAAAAAATTATTATAAAGAAAACAAAAGAACTAAAAATGTTTCTGTGCATGTAAAATATGTATAGTACACCTATTTGGAATACAATAATCAAGATCACATTTAGAAAATATTAAAGCCATTTTCGTCCTCTGATACTCACATAGAATATACCTGACTAAATATTAAAGAGTGTGATCTAAGGGGAGTTTTATATCGACTAAAACAGTAGAAATGGTATATATATGCACACAAATATCTCCTAAAAGTGTATTAAAACCCAACAGTAAAAATATTATATATCCCAGCTCACAAGTCCTTTTTCAGCCTCTTTTTCTTTATTTTTCTGGCTGTAACATATTTACTGTACTAGCTGGCAACACCATGTTGTATGGAGGAGAAGAACTGTCACCCTCGCCTGCTTGTTCCTGATTTGTACTGATGAAGAACACCTCTCCCTCTCCTCAGCTCAGTCTTTCAGAGCTGCATAGGATTGATAACACTGTTTGAGATTTCATTACAGCAGAGACAGAGGCCACAGGAAATTACAAGCTCACACAATTTCTGGCAAGATCATTGGGTATTTTTTTTTCACTTATATTAAATAGTTTTAGCAGTCCAAAGAGAGCAGTTTAGAGAAGTTCTTTATTAGGATTTACATACACTTTAGTGCACAAGTTTCCCATGCATTGTTGGTTTGGCCTTTTATGATTTATCCATTACAGTGCTGATTAACATATGGACAACAAAAGACTGCAGTTCATTATTCTCTTACATTTCAGGTGCAGCAGAGTTCCTGATTATAGAATATATCCTTCCTCTGTAAGCAGCAAAGTCCGGTTTGGATTTAGTGCCTTCAGCTTTCTGAAGAAACATGCCAGAGTCTACATCCAGTGCAGGTTGACGGTGTGTCGTAGGGGCAGCCAAAGCTCACACTGTAGTCAGGACTGTGTTCCAAGACGGAAGAGAGCTGCTGAACCTCACCACCACGAGGAGGTGCATGTTGTTGTTGGACCTGTTGAAGCAGTAGATGGCTAATTCAACACATGTTATGAGGATAAGCTTCTACAGAATTTTTAGTTTTATTGATTTATATTCAATTCTTACTGATCTATTTTAGCCTTGATCTGAAAAAAAAGAGTGATGTAGTTTTTGCTTGTCACACATGTATAATAAATCAAATATCATATATTCTAAATCAAATATTAAACATAAAGTGAAAACTAAAACAATTGCATAATCTTTTTGTACTTCTTGTATTACATGATAAGTTTCAGCTTTAAAGAGTTTAACATAATCTTTTGTAAATGGTTGAGTGGTGAGCTATGTAAATGACCTTGTGTTATAAATAATTAAATCACATAACAGTTTCTTAATATGTGCCTTTGTAAGGCCAGGGCTGAAGATATCTCTCATATGCACATGACCACATGCAGCCCTCTAACTTAAAATATATCTAAACTCGAGAACAAAAATGTTCTACTGCAGCCTTAGGTTAGACACACTTTCTGTCGTAGGATGACAATGCTCAGTCACCCTAGTAAGTGTGTTCGGACAACAACACCTTGTCATCTCCTCATATTCATAACATAAGGGAAAGATGTTCTGTAGCACACAGAGAGAACTTGGTAGTGTGATGTATTGAACCCTCAGTCTCACCCTGTGCAGAGGTTTTTCAGGTAGGAAGACAACAATCTAAGCATCAGCACGATGTTTCCCTTCTTGCTCTGATGATAACTCTAAAATGTTTGATTTCCCCTCACTTTCTGTCTCTGTGACAATGGTCACTTTGACAAATAAATTCTCAAAACCCACCACTGGAGACCCAAATGTAACATATCAAGCTCCTCCTGTGGAGAGATTTGACCTGCTCTAGGACAACAATGTAAGCACTAGCAGACTGAGGGTAATTGTCACTGGGGCAGGTTAACTATGTAGTTAACCCTTTACACACACAATAGCCAACACATGTTTTAATGGAAACCTGCACCATTCACAGTATCTGCTGTTGCAATTCTGACCTTTTAAAAAGAAGTTTGTATACCCGCTGCCACACCCAGACTGGAATGTTATCAGAGTTTACAAGACAGTAGCTTTCTTCAAAAATGCTAATATTCTTTAATTTCTAGTAAGAGCATTCAGAGAATCAACGTAATGATGTTTAAATATTATTTTAATGAAAGAAAAAATTGGTGCAAGAAAAAAATTACAATAAAAATATTACAAAACAGATACACACAACAGTAAAATAAAAGGGATGAAAAGAGAGAAACACTTAAAGTGACTTTAAAGCTTAATTTTTTAATTTTTATATATAGAAGGCCCAGACTTGTTAAACTATTCTGTTTTTTTCTTTTTAAAATGCTCGGTTCCTCATTTTCTCGAGGAATCCCTGCATCACTCGTTTTCTCAAGTGGGTCCCTGCATCACTCTCCCTCCCACCCCCAGCACGGTTCCTGGTTGTGGGGGAGGATCTATGGAAGCACACAGATTAGCTGATGGAGGCACCCATGCGTTTGTGTTCCCGACCCTGCCCGCAAGTAGCTGTGTGCATCCATAGAGACACACAGCCATGCGGCAGCCCATGCCCCTCCTCCTCCCAACAGATTGATGGCAAAAGGAGCCTATGGCTCCTCTGCCCTCAGTATCCTCCCCCACAACCAGGAAGCTTGGGCAATTGAGCATTGCTTCAGGTACTGTGGTGGTGACAAGTCTTCACAAGTAAGTGTGGGGGCGGAGGCAGAAAAAGATACTGGGCATTTTTTTACCTTAAAGGAGAACTATTTGGTGAGTGCTTTTCACTCACCTCATAGTTCTAGCCGACCTGTGACAATGAGACTGTCACAGTTAGGCTCAGTAGATCAGGAGGTGAACGAACACATACCGGCGTTCGCTCACCTCTCGATCCTGTCACAGCTCTCTGCCGTGACAGGGGAGGGGCTGGATTCCCCCCTCCCCGCTCCGATCCACCAGCGCTGACTGGCGGAATGGACGGGGGAGGCGGCAGGTGCAGCTGGCTCTGCCTCTAGGTAGGCAGAGCCAGCTGTCAGTCACGCAGCTAGGCGGATCCTGGCACAATTGTCAGGATCCGCTTCAGCTGCAGCGTCTCAGTATACCGCGAGCAGCAGCTTGTGGTATACTGCGGCGTCTCAGTATACCGCGAGCTGCAGCTCGCGGTATACTGAGCCTAGGGTGACGGGAGGACGCTAGTTTGTGTCCTCCCGTTACCCTAAGAAGAACTATGGGGAAAAGCCTTAACCCCATAGTTCTTCTTTAATACAGAGAATGCATTAAGGTAAAAAACACCCAGCCTTTAGTACTACTTTAGACAAGGTGCTCCTGGTCTTTGGTTCTGTGCAGAGTGAAATTTGATATCATTCTCCGGCTCTCATAAATGACTTATAGCATTCCTTTATCATTTCTATGGTATATGAGAGCCGCAGTTGCCAAATGGCGTATTTTATTGTGGTCAGCAGACACGCCCCTAATGGCAAATATTTACATGCACCTATATTCCATCACATGGTTTCATTAAGCCTTTTCATACACTTTAAAACTAGAACAATTTGTAAATGCCCCAATATTTCCTGTAGTACTTTTTCTAATAAGACAAAAAATAAAGCTTAACTATAATGAATGCCTACCATTTGCTTTCTGTTGCTAAATTTGATTTAATAGTTCTAATCCATTTGCTTTAGGCTATCCCTTTATTATAATCAGTAAACATTGAGTTACATTTCTAAAATTGCCCTTTTCCTAGTTAGTTTTTGAAATGCCGCTTTTACTTCTTTGTTCCTCAGACTGTATAAGAGAGGATTTAACATTGGAATGACCACAATATTTAACAGAGATATGGCTTTAGTGTTATGGTAGGAATTATTAGACGGTGGCAGGAAATACACACTGACCAGAGTCACATAAAGCACAGATACAACAGTAAGGTGGGATGAACATGTTGAGAAGGCTTTGAGTCTGCCTTTAGCAGACTGAATCTTTAGAATCACTGAAATGATGGAAACATAGGAGGACAGTGTAAATAAGAAAGCTGGTAATGCCAAAAAAGCTGCTTCGATAAGTATAACAATTCCTAACTTAGTGATATCACCACATGAAATGCTCAGTAATGGGACAGAGTCACAGAAAAGGTGATTGATGGTACGCGAATTGCAGAAAGGATAAAAGGCCATCAGATTAATGATCGGAGCAGGATCAACAAAACTAATAAGCCAAGCAGCAGTAGCCAGAGCTGTACAGACCTTTTTATTCAATACAAGATTGTAGCGTAGAGGGTTACAGATAGCCACATAGCGATCATATGACATGACGGTCAACAAGAGGTACTCCAGACTTTGGAAAGAGATGTAGAAGTACAGCTGTGTCATACACTCCGAAAAGGAGATCATTCTCAGGTTTAGAAACGTTAGTAGAAATCTCGGATGAATAAGACTTGTCAAGCAGATATCTAAAAATGATAAGTTACAGAGGAAATAATACATAGGAGTATGAAGGTGAGAATTCAAATAAACAAGGATTATCAGAAACGCATTCTCCAGAAGACAAAGAGAGTAAGCAGCCAGGAATGCAAAGAACAGCAGAATCTGCAAATTTGGGTATTCAGAAAAACCTAAGAGCAAAAAACCTTCTGTTTTGTTACCAGACCGCATCCTGCCTCAACACTAAAAGAAGGATACAGTTAACATAAATGGCAAGATAAAGCAAGGGAAAACTAAATGAAAAGGAATGTGTTGGCTATGGCTGGGTTGCTTTACTAAACGAGTACAGACTGTTCACTTTGCAAAATGAACATTAGTAATTAAGCTGAAGCAGTGATGTGCGTTACCTACCGTGCTGGGTGAGGCATTCCCTTGCCCGCCCCAGTCCCGCCCCCAGCCTGCCGAAGCTCCGCCAACCCGGTCACCAAGCTACATGTGAAGGAGGGAGGGAGGAGGAAGGGAGGAGCCTCCCTGTCCCTCACTTGCTCGTCACTGGTGAAGCATCGAGATCGATGTCCTCTGAGTGTTTTTTTTTTTACTGGACAGCTTGGACCAATGGCACTTTGTCATTGGTCCAAACTATCTACAGAGCTCAAGCCTCTAACATAGAGTAGAGGCTTTTGCAGCTCTTGTCTCACTAGTTAGGTTACACAGTAGCAAGCTGCTTGTGTAACCTAACTTATCCATCAAAAGCTGGATGCAGTGCTGCCTGTAATTAACAGGCAGCGCTCCGTCCATGACAGGTTACATAGCGGGGAGGCTTTCCCTGCTGTGTAACGTGTTAGAAGCCTCCCTGAATGGAGAAAAAGCCGTCAGCTTCAGACTTTTCCTCAATAATACTTGGTGAGGCTCTGCCTCACCTGCCTCCCCTGACTGCACGTCCCTGAGCTGAAGCTGTGTTCACTTTGAATATCCTATTAAGTGCAAAGGAAATTAAATATACTGATTTTGGGGAGCAGATGATTGGTAGATAAAGTGAATACAGCTTCACCTTGTTTACGAACACCCATTCTGCAAGGTGAATATAAGCTTTGCAAAGTGAACGTTTCCTTTGCTGAATGAAATGCTGTAAAATTGAACTTGAATGACAAGAAATGTAAAATTTTATCGTAACATAAAAGCTAAAATACCACAGCTTTACATTACCACATTATAGATAGAAATGTATCATGATTGTAGCTAAAATCTTGGTCCAACATAGTCAGAATAGGTCTGTCATACACAACTACTTCTGTTTACTAGTTACATACTATATACTCTCACATATAGGACTGTACTAAATAAACACATTTTATTTTGAGATAATAAGGTATAAGTACAATTCAGAAAATGAGAAGTAGCCCACATTCTCAAATGTAACTGCTCCAGAACTTTTTTCTTCGGCTTTCACCATGCCTGGTATATTGCAATAACTGGTTACACAGAAGAATGGAATAAATGGTCCGGGTAGTGGTAACATTATGAAACTTTCTTGAGCTCTTGATAAAGCATTCATTGCAACATACCATCTACCATTTTCCTGTTAAAGTGTGGCACCAAATTGTA